GTCCCACCATTTAAATATTGTCATTATTTTAAGGTAACATCCGCTCTAAAACAATTACATGGGGAAAAGGAGAATTGGTGTCCAGTTTCCTAAGGGTGATGACCATGCATTCTGTGTGCAGAGTAGAGTGTCTCCAACTTATCCTGGTGAGACAGGAAAAAAACCATCAAATGTAATTGTGTAGTTGTTTGTGGCCCTTTTTTGAAATGTGTCCCTTGCTAGTTCTGAGCCTCTAAAGCTATGGTTTTTCTCTTTAAGGGCTATTTCCTAAAATGGCCAGATTTGTTTGTGGACCATTATTCTCATAATTAACAGTACATTTTCCTGTCACATTTAACAGATTTAACCAAAGAATTCTAGAACAAAGCTATTTTATGTTTTTAAATTATGCCAGTCATTTTTAATTTTATAGAATTTAAAATAATTCATATATATGTTAAAAGTTGGCCTGAATTATAATGCATTTACTGTCATCTTTACTGTAGTGAAAAAGCAGTATCAAATTTACTGTCTCCTATTTCCAAGTGTGCAGTTCAGTTGTATTATGTACATTTTACATGTTTGCAGTGGATCTCCAGAACGTGCTTAGCTTTCAAACCGAAACGTGTAGCTCTTAGACACTAATTCTTTTATCCAGTTGTTGGCAGGTATATTTCTACTTCTATGGTTTCAATAACTTCAGAAACTTGGAAAGAGTAGAATCATACAATATCTGTGCTTTTGTGACTGGTTTGTTTCATAATGTCTTCAAAATCCATCCCTATTCTACCATAGGAATGGCTTCATGATAATTTTTTATGCATGTTCATCCCTCCCTTCCCATCCTCAGGAGATTGGTTCTGAGGATGCAAACTCCCCACATACCAAGATCTGTACATACTGAAGTCACTAATACAAAAATGAAGGAACATTTTCACGTAATTTGTGCATATACCTTCCTGCAGAGAATACTTTAAATCATTCTAGATAACTTACAATACCTCATTCAGTTTAAATTCTATGTAAATACTTGTTATGATATAATATTAAATGAATAATGACAAACATTTATATATAAATTCAGCACAGACATATTTTTTCCCTGAATATTTTCAGTCCAGGTTTAGTTGAATCAGTGATATACAACCCATGGAGACTAAAGGGCAGCTATACATACCTCATTTTCTTTGCCCTTTTGTCCATTGATGGACATCTAGGTTACTTCCAGCTCATGGCTATTGGGATTAATATTATAATGAACATGGCTAGGCAAACAGCACTTTGATACCTTGCCTTTAATTATTTTGGAAAAAGTGGAACTGCTGGATCATGCAGTGGTAGGGGTTATAATTTTTGAGAACACTCTACATTGTTTTCCACAGTGGCCACACTATTTTACAGCCTCAGTGACGCAGAGGATTCAATTTCTCTGTCCTTCCTACTACTTTTATTTTCTTTCTGAAGGTGGGCATTTCAATGTGTATGATAGCTCATTATAGTTATTATTTATATTTATCTTATTGTTAGTGATGTTAAGCATTTTATTTTCAAGTGCTTGTTGGTAAATTGTATATATATATATCCCTCCGTGCTTCCTCTGAATTTTATAACTTTAGGTACTACATGTACATCTTCGAATTAATTTTTGTAGATGATATAAGTTAAATGTTCCCACTTCATTCCTTTCATGTAGATATCCAGTTTTCCTAACATTATTTTTTGAAGAGATTGTACTTTCCAAGTTTTTGCAATCTTTGACACCTCAGGTCTGGAAAAGGACCCATAGTGAGATCTCAGATTTTACTTGAATCTCAGGATGCTGTTTGCCATTTCATTCCATTCTCATCCCGAGACTCAGAGGCAAAGAATAAGCAAAACTTATAAGGGCCTTGGGTGTGAAAGAGGTTTGGAGCCTCCTCATAATTATCTACCATTTCTATTATATTTTCAACCAGTGTTAACTGGAATGAACAGAGTTAGAAATCTGTAGAACAAAGATTGCACCAGACATAAAATGAAAGCCTCATGTGGGCAAATAAAATCCAAGCTGAGACTGAGCTCAGTGGTAGAGTGTTTGCCTTGCGTATGTGGGTGTGGGTGGTCTATGTGGATCACCAGCACTGCAGAAATAATGATGAAAACAAAAAGAAGTGAAACAATGTCCACAAACCTCCAACTAGAATTAGGTGGTCTAGTTACAATAATGAATGAAGATAAATGACTAAAGACATTTACTTTTATATGTACATTGTCTTTGATGGACAGACACATAAAATATAGAGTATATTATGAAAATGTTGTTCATTTAGCTGTCTTAGTCTGCAAATCTGGGGCTAATACATCACGATTTTGCTTATTTTCTTTTGGGAATGGCTCTAGTAATAAGAGGAATGGGATTTTGTCCAAGTCCAATGTTTCCTCTGACCCTACAGAGTTAAAAAAAATAAGTTCAGTGCCTTAAAGTCTCTCTATAGTCACTCCCATGGTGGGGAGGTGATGTTAGTTTGATAATATGGAGCCCACTCTGTGGACTGACCTTCTAGAAGGATTCCTCCTGTGCCTGAGGGCCACACTGATTCTGCTGCAGCTCCAAGTACTGACTTAAACTCACAAGGACTTGAAGCTATTTGAACTAAACTGGAATATTGCTTAGAGTTAAAAGTGTGGCTTGGAGAAAGGTCTGGTCTCAGTGGTTTGGTGGCTGGTCAGTTAGTTAAAGTTGTCTATGTGCAAAGACAAATTTGAACTTTCAATTAGTTACATCATTGAATATTTAAACTAAAATGATGTATTACTCATGGTAATATTCAAAGTATAGCCCTATAAAAGCTTTTATGTTAGTAATAAGCTGTTTGGGGAGCCCCTCATACAACTTTAATACATATTTTATTTCCTTTAAATTCTTTAAATTCTATCAAAACATAACACTTTGTTGTAATTCCATCTCAGAACCACATAAAAAGTAGATTTGTTCTTTGGGCTCTCTATTTTGAATTAAGATTGATGAATAACCTGTGGCAGAAATGTTTTAATGTTCTTAAATCCCTTGAATTTGTTTTAGAATTGGTCTAAACAGAAACAAGCATAGAATGAACTTTTAACGTTAATGATATTTGCAAAATATCAATTTGCAATATTTTATAGAATTTCTTAATAAACATCAAAATCACATTGTGTTATAACATTGAAAAGTTTTCCAGATACATAATGAATGGTAAGCAACCAGATTTAGGGGTAAAGGAGAGAGAGGGATGCCAGATGTGTTTCTTCCCCACAGAGCAGCAAGCTTCTAGCATCCTGCCATACACACATATCTTATCTCAGACTTGCCACTATCTGAACTGGATGATTTTATCTTGTCAGACTCTAAGAAAATTTGTACATTTTATAAAACAAACAAGTTGTAGGGCATTTATTTATTCTACTAAGATATGACTTAACTGTATAGTATCTGTGTCATCATGCTTTATTGTCACTCGTAAGAGTATGTTTTACAAAGTCAAAAGCTAACACAAAACTCTAACGTGAAGTAAGAGTTTGCTGTGTTCTCACCATTGGAGTATCAACCCTGTATTTAATGACTCTTTCTAGAAAGTACTAGTCACTGAAGTCCTTCATATTCAAAGTTGTAGTGCATTGTAACAAATAAATATAAGGAAACATATAACTCCGCCTGCTAGAAGTAGGAAGTGACTGGCCCATTCTTGGGAAAGCAAGGCTAACAACAGATATATAATGGCCTTTTTTATCTAATTCAAATGCAGAACACTAGAACTAGTAACCACTGGCATCATTAGCCTGCACATCATACATGTTATCTTTTTTTAATCTGATAATATCTCATTAAAGCCAACAGATAACAGTCAATGAGTCTGATATCCTTTCCTTCTTTTATGTGTCTTCTGAGGAACCATTTAGCTAAGAACACAATGATTAGAAACATAATAGCATAATTTAAATAATAAATACAACTAACTTTTATGAGCATTTAATATGTGCCAGTCTTTATACAGAGAACTTTACATAGATTTCTGTTTTTTGTTTTGCATTGTTTTTCTAACATACATTCGGTTCTTTCAGCAATCCCATAAGAGCTCCTTGTGACCAACCCTATTTTTTAAATTGAAGCAACCAAGAGATTATATATGTGTGATCTATACTTGTTAATAGGCAGTGCTATTCCCATGAGATTAATAAGAATATATGCATGAGGTATATACACATTCTCTTTTTCAGTGCTGAGGATTGCACCTAGAGTATCATGCACACTAGGCAAGTGTTCTACCACAGAACTGTTTTTAGCCTGAGATATATTCTTAGGCTAAATGTTTTATGTATTGAATATGTTTGTGTTTTTAATGAAGCCATGTAATTACAGTAGAATAGTCACTTGATTTATTCAGTCAAGATAACATGGCTATTAGAATATAGAAAAATTTGATGCATTACTTTCATAGTTGTATTAAATTTACTTTCTGCATTAAAGCAATTGAGCTAGAAATACTGGCTGAATGTGTCTACAGAACATATCATTTGGAAAAGAAAGAATCCCTGAAAACAAATAGCTATCAATGAAAATACCATAGGTGATTCAAAATTTTGCCTTTACTAAGAATGGCCTATTATCTCTTAGAACCATAATTATATATAATTTCTGAAATTACTTTTCCTTTATATAAATGGCATCTTTAGGTTTTTCTGGGTATGTCTAGTTTGAGTCTCTCTCTCTCTCTCTCTCTCTCTCTCTCTCTCTCAGTGTGTGTGTGTGTGTGTGTGTGTGTGTGTATGTATGTATGTTTAATAGCCATCCAGTACTGTGCAGTCTTAATTATAAAGGAGTACTAACTAGTTTTAGTGGAATAAGTGGGCTGGCTGTAAGAGCATCCTGAAATTTAAAAGTCTGTTTAGTTATTCTGAACACATTTTAGAACATATTACTACATTTGTAGTAAACAAAAGATAGGTTTAAATATAGAAAGTCTATAGAATCAGCATAACATCTTTCCTGTTCTAATTTTCAGATACATCTCCAGACTTTGATTTGGCCGAAGTAACTCACTAGAAGACCTGTGCACATGCTTGGAATTGAGTGACACAGTTTTCAGATTTCAGATGCTTCCTACCTTTTAATAAGTGCAAAAAAAACATCCATTCAGACTCTGGAATTCTGTACATTTCAACACAGACTTGTTGAATGTTTACATTTTCTGCTTGCTGTTCTACTTAACACTCAATAGTGTTCACACCTTGTTCAAACTCACGACCATCAAGAACTGAGTGTGTTCTGCAAGCCACCATGGCCAGATTGAGCATTGGGATAGCAGCTTGCCGAATGGTGCTGGGCTTGATGATGACCTCATTAACTGAGTCTTCCATACTGAATAGCGAGTGTCCCCAACTTTGTGTGTGTGAAATCCGTCCTTGGTTTACCCCACAGTCCACATATAGAGAAGCCACCACTGTTGATTGTAATGACCTCCGCCTAACAAGGATCCCCAGCAACCTCTCCAGTGACACACAAGTGCTTCTCTTACAAAGCAATAACATTGCCAAGACCGTGGATGAACTTCAGCAGCTTTTCAACTTGACTGAGCTAGATTTCTCCCAGAACAACTTTACGAGTATCAAGGAGGTAGGGCTGGCAAACTTGACCCAGCTCACAACTCTGCATCTAGAAGAAAATCAGATTTCAGAGATGAGTGATTACTGTCTGCAAGACCTCTACAACCTTCAAGAACTCTATATCAACCACAACCAGATTAGCATGATTTCTGCTAATGCCTTTTCTGGCTTGAAAAATCTTTTAAGGCTCCACCTGAATTCCAACAAATTGAAAGTGATTGATAGTCGTTGGTTTGATTCTACCCCCAACCTGGAAATTCTCATGATTGGGGAAAACCCTGTGATTGGAATTCTGGATATGAACTTCAGACCTCTCTCCAACTTAAGAAGCTTAGTTTTGGCAGGGATGTACCTCACGGATGTTCCTGGAAATGCCTTGGTAGGCTTGGATAGCCTGGAGAGCCTATCTTTTTATGATAACAAACTGATCAAAGTCCCTCAACTTGCCCTGCAAAAAGTTCCAAATTTGAAATTCTTAGACCTCAACAAAAATCCCATTCACAAAATCCAAGAAGGAGACTTTAAAAATATGCTTCGATTAAAAGAACTTGGAATCAACAATATGGGGGAGCTGGTTTCGGTGGATCGCTATGCCCTGGATAACTTGCCTGAACTGACAAAGCTAGAAGCGACCAATAACCCCAAACTGTCATACATCCACCGGTTGGCTTTCCGAAGTGTCCCAGCCCTAGAAAGCTTGATGCTGAACAACAATGCCTTGAACGCCGTTTACCAAAAGACAGTAGAATGCCTTCCCAATCTGCGTGAGATAAGCATCCACAGCAATCCACTGCGGTGTGACTGTGTCATCCACTGGATTAACTCCAACAAAACCAACATCCGCTTCATGGAGCCCCTCTCCATGTTCTGTGCCATGCCTCCTGAATACAGAGGACAGCAGGTGAAGGAAGTGTTGATCCAGGACTCAAGCGAACAGTGCCTGCCAATGATATCTCATGACACATTCCCAAATCATTTAAACATGGAGATTGGCACAACAGTTTTCCTAGACTGTCGGGCCATGGCTGAGCCAGAACCAGAAATCTATTGGGTCACTCCCATTGGAAATAAAATAACCATAGAAACCCTTTCAGATAAATACAAGCTAAGCAGTGAGGGTACCTTGGAGATATCAGATATACAGATTGAAGAATCAGGAAGGTATACGTGTGTGGCCCAGAATGTCCAAGGAGTAGACACTCGAGTGGCAACAATTAAGGTGAATGGAACCCTTCTAGATGGTGCCCAGGTGCTGAAAATATACGTCAAGCAGACAGAATCTCATTCTATTTTAGTGTCTTGGAAAGTTAACTCCAATGTCATGACATCAAACTTAAAGTGGTCATCTGCTACCATGAAGATTGACAACCCCCACATAACGTACACAGCCAGGGTTCCGGTAGATGTTCACGAATACAACTTAACACACCTTCAGCCTTCTACAGATTATGAAGTGTGTCTCACGGTGTCCAACCTCCACCAGCAGACTCAAAAGTCCTGCGTCAATGTCACAACCAAAAATGCTGCTTTCACCTTGGACATCTCAGACCAAGAAACCAGCACAGCCCTTGCTGCAGTTATGGGGTCCATGTTTGCTGTCATCAGCCTTGCATCCATCGCTATATACATTGCCAAAAGGTTTAAGAGAAAAAACTACCACCATTCACTGAAAAAGTATATGCAGAAAACATCTTCCATCCCTTTGAATGAGCTGTACCCGCCGCTCATTAACCTCTGGGAAGGTGACAGCGAAAAGGACAAAGAAGGCGCTGCAGACACCAAGCCAACCCAGGTTGACACATCCAGAAGCTATTACATGTGGTGACTCAGTGGCTATTTTGCTTCTGGTAGTAAGGAGCACAAAGACGTTTTTGCTTTATTCTGCAAAAGTAACAAGTTGAAGACTTTTGTATTTTTTGACTTTGCTAGTTTGTGGCAGAGTGGAGAGGACTGGGTGGATATTTCCAAATTTTTTAGTATAGCGTATCGCAAGGGTTTGACACGGCTGGCAGTGACTCTGAGCTTCCAGTTTGTGTTTGGTTTTTATTCTTATCATTATTATGATTATTATATTATAATTATTATTATTATTTTGTTTTAGTTGATGTGCTAAACTCAATAATGCTGTCCTAACTACAGTGCTCAATAAAATGATTCATGACAGGTGGGGGTTCCCTGTACTTGACCCCTTCTGAAGCCATCAGTACAAAGAACCGTGTCCTCCCAAAAGCTAACATACAGTTCTGAAGCAGCATTAAACCTTTCGTAGCAATCTGGTCTACAGACTTTTCACTCGAGCTAAGACTAGACTTGTTACCTTATTGAATGTTAGTTGACTGTACTGTAATGTTGTATCAACTGAATTGAATGTTTGCCTTTTAGCAACTACTTTTCTTTCCTTCTTCCTCTTTCTTTTGTAATAGTTAAAGAGGCTTAGAACCAGCTAACAGGCAATAGAAATATGTATATCAGATTTTTTAATGTAACAAACTACATGTTAATTGTTACTGTATTCTTTTTATCTTTAGTAGACACTTTTAAAAAGCAAAGATGATTTTGTTGTGTTTAACTCACCAACACGTGGTGTGTAATGAAGACAGAACTATAATAAACTAGTTTTGTTCTGATTTTTTTAGAACACTTGCAATAATGTATCATTTACAGTTCATGTTAGTTGCAGTGGTGATGCCTTTCACATCAATGAAAACCACCGCCATGAGCTGTCCTTCTAGTTAGTCCCTAGAAACTTGAATTATTTTTTGCAAAGAAAGCAATATCTAAGACAATCAGGGCTGGTGAGATGGCTCAGTGAGTAAAGGTGCTTGCTGCCGGGCCTAATGACCTGAGTTCAATCCAAGGTACCACATGGGGAGGAGAAAATTGACTCACAAATTTTCCTCAGACCTCCACACACACACCATGGCACGTGTGTGTATACACTCACATATGTACAATAAATACATAAAAGTATTCAAAGAAAAATAAATGAACACATTCTAGTAAACAGAATTTCTGTATTTTAAGTACTGTTGACCAGAAACTGATAGAGAGAATATTCAAATAAAGAAAAAAAGGCATATCTCAGGCATAATTAAATGTGGTTTTATAGATTGATGATGATGATAGATAGATGATAGATGATACATACATACATACATACATACATACATGCATGTGGGGAAACCATAACCTCTCCTTTATCCTCCTATATTTCTGTGTTCTGTAAATACCATTTATCAGAATTACATATTTCAAGATTACACAGGAACTATGTCTGTGAAGTTCAGAACTGAAGGAATTGGGTTTTCCAAAGTTGTAAGAAGGGCTGAGGAAGATTTTAAAGTATAGGTGAAAGGCAAAAGACCCATTTGAAAATTTGATTTGATAAGGCAGAGAAGTAAAGAAAGACTGTTCCAGATGGCAGCTGCTGCCATGGACCTGCTGTGTCACCAGGAACCATAAGACTATAAGGGGACTAAGGACACAGGTACCAGATGAGCTGAAGAAAGGACAAGAGAGCAAAGAGGAAAAAAGAAGGTCCAGACAAGGCCAGTTGAGAGATGGCCTTCATTGTCAAATACTTTGTTTTGTGAGTCACTTTTTCAAAGATCAGCCTTTTTCTCACCAAAGGGGCATAGGGAGAGAATTCCAAATATTGAAAAAAATCAAGCTGCAACAGAAAAACAGCCAGTATCAGGGACGGAAGCACTCTTTCTCAGATCCTTCTTCTGCTGCTGAGTAAAACCCAGGGCACAGGGAAGGCATGACTTCAGGGAGGCTCCACTGCCCTCCATCCATCCCTCCAGGCCCAGCAGTCTCCTTACAGCTTTTTTTAAAGTTTTTTTTTTGTTGTTGTTCTTTTTTTTTTTTTTTACTGTGTATGAGTATATGGCTTGCATGTATATAAGTGCACTCATATAATACAATACACTGGATACCCTGGGACTGGAGTTACAGATGATTGTTAGCTACCATGTGGGTGCTAGGAATTGAACGTGGGCCTTCTGCAAGAGCAGGCAGTGCTTTTAACCTCTGAGCCATCTCTCCAGCCCAGGTCTTTTTACAGCTTTGAACAGCCTCTGGTGCCCCTGCTCTAAAAAGGTAGCATATCCTCAGGTTCCCCATTTACCTATAATACATTTCAGAACAAAGGCAGACCAGAGGATAAGCACAGTCTTCCATTGTTGGTACTGCCAAGCACATGTGGAAACAGAAGGAAGTCCTCTGCTGGCCACTGTGGGATGCTCCCTGCTGGATGTTCTGGGCTTCAGACATCTGCAGAGTAGTGACCACCTAACTGATGACTTTTGTAAAATCTACAACCCATGAAACAGATCACAGACTGGCACAGAAATGTGAGACCCAGAGAAGGAAAAATAATTTATCTCATAAAGCAAGGATTGCAGCCTGGCATAGAATTTGGGCTTAAATATTGGTAGGATAAAGGAAAACAACTCAACCTTTTCTCCATCCTGAATATACAGCAGGACAAGGAAATCCAAACGTTGGTGTCAACAATATCCCAAGCCGTTTCTTTTACTTAGAAAGTTATTTCTTTTACTTAAAAAATGTACTTAAGCCAGGCATGGTGGCTCATGCCTTTAATCCCAGCACTCAGGCAGAGGCAGAGGCAGAGGCAAGCAGATCTCTGAGACTGGTCTACATAGAAAGTTCCAGGCAGGCTGGGACTACAGGGATACTTTGTCTCAAAAAGAAAAAAAAAAATTAAACTCTTTTTACCCTATCCAAGTTCATGGATTGGTTTTTCATGTTGGAAAACAAGATAGCAGAATACTTTTTCTCTACCCACTTATTTTATTTCCTCATTTATTTGTGTTTAATCTAATTTGAGACCTTAGACAGCCAGTGATATTAGACATCAATCTAGGTCCTGATTGACAAGGGAGATCCCCTCGCCTTCCCGAGTGAAGTGGCTGTTGCAGGTCACATTCTAATTTCTCAGTTTTGCTTCCCGTTGTTCTCTAACTCGATTTTACAAGGCTATTTTTGGAGCAGTTCATTAAAGTGGGCATTCCTTAATTTTCTTGTTTAATTAATGACAAAGCAACCTGAAGCCATGAATATATACAGAAACATAATGTTTGCGATCACTGTTTCTAATTTGCCTTTGTGACTGGGGAAAAGAAATCATCTCCTTTTTTTGGCAAATAAGACCAAAGTCCATTTCCCCCCCGCATTGGGCCTCAGGACACCACAGTCTTTGTGTTTGCTTTCTGCATTCATTCTCTGAAACATTTTCCTTTCTTCCTCGTTGCTTCCATCAGTGGCAGGGGAGCGGGCAAGAGGGGCGGGTGGGCGGATAAAAGCCTTTCCTATTTCTGACACTTTGCTGGGAAAAACTATGCTTTCTGCCTTTCTGTTCACTGAAGGAGGAATTTCTGATACATTCAAGGTACAACTGAAAATACTTTTTTTTTAACCTCAATTCTTTCAATCTCACCATGCTTGGAAACAGATCTTTT